ACACTTGTTTACAAATATTGGAAATGGTTCGTAAAAATTAATAAATCTTATAGTTATTATAATCTTGATGAAAATAGTAAGACTTCAAAATGTTTAGTTGCTGGATGCGAAAAAGTTTTGAAGATAAGTTAAGCAAAAATCATAGATAATGTGTAGAAGAATGCGCCTTTTCCAGTCAGTTTTTACTAAGATTTTTTTTATAGGATAAGGGTGACAAACGAGCACACAGTCCACCTGATGGTAAGTAGTTGCTGTGGCCCATAGACATATACATTTATCCTCGATTACGAATCAAAATGCAGATGCATTGTCACCCGTGAGGACTAAGATGGAATGCCTCATTTCCAGTAAAAAGGGTCTCCGGTTCTCTACACTCACCATACGAAACACAGCAGCATTAAGCTACTATTTTACGCTGGTATTCTGTGAGAGCGTGGTCTTTCCCCGGTCGAGCCGACCCATTCGTGTTACAGCTATACCAGAAATGTAACTGCAGCATGGTTCTACCACGTATAGATATATATAAATATTGTATTTATATATGTACAGGGTCTCCTAGAAAACAGGACACCAACCTACTTTACCTTCTGTTAGAGCGTGGTCCTTCCCCGGTCGAGCCGACGAATTCGTACTATAACTATAGTACTAACATAGTTGCAGCCTGCACCATAGATCTACCACATCATACCTTGTCATATTTACCTATTAGATAGGTACCTATTCATATCTTAATGCATTATACTTTTTGAGATTTACGCGAATATTTGACATTTTAAATAAAACTATTTTTCGGATTTTCTCGCAGATTTATTTTAATTGTAACTGTGCAACTGTGCTGTGTGCCTGTGTGCACACACACACACACACACACGTGCGCGCGCGCGCGCATGCACTCTTACACTAGCACTATATACAAAAGAGGTACATTTTTCATATAATTTTTATCTATTTCACTTTTTTATATACCACATCTGTAATGTAAAGAACTAAGTTTTGTAAATTTTCTATAATTTAAATAAATAATTTATGTTTGTAAATACAGGTTCTGGCCTAGTTCGGCAATGGATACTATTTTGCATGTTATAAGATTAAATATTCCTTTGTAGTTTATAAATAGACATATTGTTAACTATATATACAGGGTATTTTTGGAACGCTCCCGAAAACAATAATATAGAAGAATATTTCAACTTCTATACAATTATTTTGTCTACACAATCCTTAATGTATGCAGTAAGATATTAAGAACATCATTTTATTGTTATGAATGTAATACAAAGTTTATGAACTATTTATTTTGAAACACCCATATTCCGAGTTGTATGTACTACTATAGTTGATAATTCAATTGCTGCGCTGACGACCACAAAACGTATTTTTAGCCTATAACTTTAGAGCACTGCGTTCGATAGATCATACGAGTAAAAGAGATGGCATAGAACAATAAATAATAACATTATGATTTTGTGATAACAATATTTTAGAAACGTTTATTTGACAAATTTATTGTAACGTAATTATAACGTTATATACATGCAAAGCTTTGCATAATATCGTATTGACATATCGTTTCTCTTAAACATAACGTTATCTCGCACTTGCGCAGATAACGTTACTGTATTTTAACGGTATTTAAGTCCCTGCCCATGTGGCGTGTACTGTATTCGGTGCACTGGACAGCTAACGTGTTATAAATGATACCCCACTTGACATAGTTCGTCGGTTTTCATTTTTTTCTGTGTGAATTTTAATTACTGTCATGTCTTTAGTGACACACAAAATTAAGACATTATGACAAACCGATTTACGTAAGAGTCGTCAAAATCGGTCTCCAGAGCGCCTTTGCGTCGCGCAGTCGGGTAAATATTACGGCATAAAACAGTTTCGTCGATTGCGTCTCCGAGCGCCATCTGGCGGCGGATAGCTGAAGACTACCATTTTAAGACTTACAATTCTTCAAGTTTTGAAGCACCATTATATTTACAAAAACATTTAAGTGGTAATAATAATAGACCGGACATCAGCAGCATAATTGTCGTCTGTAACTTATGTCCTATAGGGCATATCTCCGATTTTTGTCATTTAGTCTTAGTGACATCGTCAAAAAGTCAAGAAGCATTCGTTTCATATATTTAAAAAATATTTTTAAAGAAAATTTGCCGGGTTGTGCACTAAGATATTGTAAGTCACGATATGGAGCAAAAAATGAACGTTATTTCGGTTTACTATCGTAAATATAACATATATTTACCGAATAATCTTTAAATTTTATTATTTCTAGTAGATTGTTCTAGAACATTTATTTTATTGTAATAAGCGCCCTCTGTTATCCAGTAAACGTAACTATTTAATTACCAATGTTAAAGTTAGTGATTGACGTTTATCGATTGGGAATATTATCGATAAAAAAATATACAGGATGCAGATTTAATCCTTTACAATATTTAAGGAGGTAAACAGTCAACGATACTGTACCCATACCAACAAAAATGAGTAGCATATACCAACTATGCTAAGTAGCCTACTTTATGTGGAGCAAGGGTGGGAAAATTTTTTAGGAATGCTGATGAGATTTTCTGTGTTGCTTATGAGCACGCTGAGGATACTTGCTGTGTTGATATTGCAATACAGCAAGTCTTCTCTTTTACATACCAGGCTTCATTGTCTGGTGGTTTTACACTGGGCTTCATTGTCTGGTGGTTTTCAAGGACAAAGCCATTATACATCCTCGCTTACAGTGATAGGAGAGGGCTATAGGTTTCTTACATTAAAAACAATTTATACTGTTAAAGATATTAGATGCAAGAAGTTGTAGGTTAAGCCTTAGTTAGAAAATAAGGTTAAAACTTAAAATAACAATTTTTATTGATGTGGGTAGTGTCTTTAAGTATTGCAGCTGATGAAACGTGAAAAATCGTGAAACGGCTTTTAAGTTCAGTGTTTTCCTAAAATATTTTAGATTTGAAGTGTATTCTTGTAATAGAAACGAATTTAAAAACATAGAGGCGCTCTCTTATTGGATTTGGCGTTTCTCGACGTGTCTTTAACGCCGACCGATCAATCATATGCTATTATTATAGCAGCTAATGGACCGAGTGACGTCATCCATGATGACACCAAGGTGGCAATCAAAGTGACTGCTGTTTAAATTGATTCTTAGTTATTGGAAATTAAATATTTTATTTCATGACACCAGAGGCGTAAAAAGTTAATATGATTTTCTTCGTGTCATGGAAGTCATGATAAATAGATTTATACAATAAAACAATCACGTATATTTCCTATTATTATATCGAAAAGCATTTCAAACTTAGTAATCTTCAACAACATTATCGATACTTTGATATCGAAACGGTAACATTCCTAAAATGACGTTTTATTTATGCTTAGCGTTGCTTTGCTATTGTCAGCTAGAGGGTGCCACACGCGCACTATCTCAAAGTTTTGCAATGTTACCAATGCCAGCTCTATAGTATACCTATATATTTAAATCTCTTTGTATATTTATTATATTGCAGCATAGCTTCGGTTTTGTTTGGACGATTTGTCTTAACTTCTAATAAAATTCGATTGATTCAAAATTCAATTCCATTCCATTGGGAGTAGGCCTGCAATTCTTAATTAAAATTAAACGTTTATTTTAATTAGGAACCATTACTGTTACAGCCATCAAAAGCATCAGCAGTGGATGCTGAACTTAGGCCTCTTTCGTGGATTACCATGCCATAGGTTGGATATTTATCATAGTTGCCACACTTGGGTAGGTAAGTTGGCGAATGCAGTTTTTTATTTTAATTATTATTAGGAAGACACTGCTGCCTATCTTCTGGATTGATACCATCTGTCACCTCTTACAACACCCACGGGACAATATATAGTAGTTGAAAATTTCTACTACATGGTTGAATTATTAAATTACGAAAAATTTTGAAATAATTTAACTTCCCATCTAGAAGTTGTTCAGCAACTTTGCAAAATCAAAATTGCAATAAATATATTTGTGTCAGTATGTGTACATTCATCCATTAATGAACATTTTTCATTTTGCATATCTCAAGAACACATGGTGATAAAAACATATTGAACACTAGATTAAGCTTTCATTTAAAGTGATTCTGGAGTATTCCTTCAAGAAAAAAACACAAACTAATAATTACAAAGAGTTACCAAATGGGAAATTGGTAGGAAGTGGAAACTAAGTTGCACACACACACACATTATATTTAGTTAACATAATATGAAGCATAATATGTCCAATATTCAAAAAATTGTTTATTTTTATAAAATTTGTAAATTGATTAGACACTTGTCCCACCGCTGACGAGGAAACAATTAGCTATCGACTATTTTCTTGCTCAAGAAATGAGCAATAGATATAGATCTTGTGTCAATGAAAGAGATACATATATTAATAGTTGATCGCTGGCTGTTCACACTGCCAGTGAGAACTCTCTCTCTCACCAGTTTGTCGCAATGACAAGAGCTATCAAAGTAATCTTTGATAGCTCTTGTCATTATGTTTAAAGTTTAATCATTGCGTTTAAACTTGCTTGGTGATGCTCCCTTGGCAGTAAGAACTTACACCAGCAGACCAACCAGCGGTCATCTCATTCTACAGTGCGGATCTGAGTGCACTTCATTATGGCCCAGCCACAAGACTATCGGAACTACAAACTCGTTTCTCACTACTCACCAACTCATTTCTAGCTCCACTTGCTACTAGTTCATCATTGGCGGTGGGACTTATACAACCATAAACATTTACAATACAAAATACATAATAAAGATGTTAAAGTAAATATGGGTATTAAATAACTATGTGTGTATTATTTTTAACATTTTATAAAATTATTATGATATAAAAAAACATTATAATATGTAGTGATTTAGTGAAAAGCTTACAATTGGTGAATAAGCTGTAATCATTAAAAGTCTTCCATGTTTACAACCTGCTTAAACTTTGTTAAAATATTCTTAATATATTGTGCAGTTTTACGATATTAAAACATTTTCTTTTTTAATGCTGTGTATCTTTCAGTATATTCATTATATCCTTCTACTGATACCAATTGTTTTGTTTCAAATAGATTACCATCCAAATTGATAGTATGAATTTTGGAATCTCTTAATAAACTAGGTCTTACTGCATCTAAGCTTAAGCAATTCTCCTCTAATCTTAATATTTTTAGCCTTGGAGCCTGATGTAAGTCCTCACTAAGATTAGATATCTCATTTTGGCTTAAATTTAATTCAGCTGCATAAAAATCTGACATCCCGTCAGGTATCCGAGTTATTTTGTTATTTGAAAGATCTACTACTTCCAAGTTGTTTAAGCATAGTAATTGTGAAGGGAACTCTGTAAATTTGTTATGACTTAGATAAACTTGTTTTAAGTTATTTAAGTTTGAAAAATGAGATGGTAGAGAAGAAATTGAATTATTAGATACATTTAACATTTCAAGTTTCTTAAGGTATATCAAAGAATCTGGTAAAACCTCTATATGGTTTGCACTCAAGTTCAGCTGCTTCAAATTTTTTAATCTACTTATGTCATCTGGTACACTGGAAATTTTATTTTTAGATAAATCTAAATTTCGTAAATGTTCTGATAAATTAAACACTTCCACAGGTATGTCTTTTAATTTTTTATCAGATATTTGTAAAACACCAGTCTTCGAAGCGGTATCATAATGTTGTCTAAGGCCCGAATTACCCATTGTAAATTATAAATCGCTTAAAATAACACCAAAATAAATAATAAATACTCCTCAATAGTATCTCTGTCTTCAGTACCACTATAGTACGCACAAAACTCCCAAAGATAATGTTGGTAACTAATCACTTTCCGTATAGGCAAGTGTATATTTTCCTTGGTATAGGACAGTTACTATACTCTTTGGTAATTACCAACTATTCAGAATTAAATCTGAATAATTTCTTTTTGAAATAATAATTTTTATAGCTTTTAAACCCAAATCAAGAAATACTTTATAAACTTGATAGATAAATAGTCCAAACCATAATCTAAACCAAAAAATCAAAACAAATTGTCATAGACTACATCACAAACTATATAGAAACACTACGCGTTCAGACGGACGTCTCTGGTACATTTAGTTTGGACCGTAGAGCAAATCAGAACATGACATTTCGTTTTTTTTTTAAATATGAATTGGATATAGGCAAGGGAATAATTTTATTTCAGCCCAGTATAATTATATATATATAGGTATATACCTATATATATAGGTATATACCTATATATTTTTATATTCATAATTTCAATAAATAAATATTAATTAATAATTACTATTTTTATTATTATTATTTTATTATGAAGGATTCGTAGAAATAAAATGCATTGTATATATTATTTATTATATGATTTATTTTTTTAACTTTTTTAAACTTGTTCAAGGTTTTTTTTGGATTGGTGGCAATGTACACTTTTCGATTCTAATGATGTCCGTGCCTTTCAGAAACCCATGTGTGGTACATGCTATAGAGTAAACATATAATTCCTCCTTTGCTGCTTGCACTTGAATATTTTCAGTGAAAAGGTTCTCTTCAATACATTCGATATCCAGTGTATTGAGCTGGAAAAAGGAATATTTAAATATATAAATTACAAGTTTAATATGCACATATTAAACTTGTTGCTCATTGTAATTGTTGTAGTTTATAAATGTTTGCATAGAAAATGTCAAGACAAGAAGAGGCCATTGTAATCAAATAAAGTTACTTTCACATAAATCTAAGAAGCTTTCACAATTCAGAAATTTCCAATAATTTTTGAACATAATTATCATTGATACCTAAGATAATTAAGTACACTGTAGCAATTTTTGATAGAAGGTTGGGAGGATAAAAGTATATTTTGTAAAGTAGCCAATTATCTATTGGAGTCTATGTTCATGTTCTACTGCTGGGCACAGACTGTCTCATTTCTCAGAGGGGTATGAAACAATGAGTTGGGCAAGGTGCTTATTGGTAGACTACATCTTTAAAATATTTTTATTCCTTAGACACACAGATTTCGTCACAATGTTCCAGAACATGATAAATTAGCACTTAAAATTGGAATTAACATTAATTCATTTATTTCAGGGTGTAGACAGAGATCAAATTTGCTCAAAAATATAAACATATTACTAATCCTCATAAAAATATTATCTGAATTAAAGTTTTAGAATGGCGATTGTTTTGCAATTTCAATTTTACATGATTATTACCTTAATTTTTTTACTTCGTTGGGAATCACATGGTCATCATTTAGTTTATCTAACAAGCGCAATTGAGTATGCTTGCAGTCCTGTTTAGTACACATCATCTTGCCATTTTGATACATTTCCATCAGTTATTATGTGTTTTGACAGCAAAATTATTCCTCATACCTTTGTTTATGATGGCTGATCAAATATCACACTAAATTTATTTGAACTGTATCATCTGAAATAAAAACATAAAAGATTGTTTGTCATTGTCATTCAGACATCCTTGATTTTGTAATTATTAAGACTAGAGGTGTGCGATTGTGCATAAAATAATGTTGACAATTAGTTATTTAAAATAATAGAATTCCTCATTTACTTCAGCCATTAACTTAAAATTTTAATAAATTATTATAAAAAGAATTTATTATTGTTTTATTCATCATTCATTCATTGCAGACTATCATAAAGCTACTGGTAAACATAGGCCTTCATAGGTTATCATATAAGGTGTACATTTTCCATAGTTGTAACACTTGGCAGACAAGTTGGCAACCAGTTTATTATTATTACTAAGTTGTTATCAAAGAGATCACTTGAAACGCCAGGAATTAAGTAGTTTTATTTAAGTACAGTACTCCCGTACATCTTTATTATAATTTTTTAAATTTTATATGAATACTGAATATACTGAGCAGTTACGTTTATTAAGGAATAATTAAATGTACATACCTTTGTCATCTTTGATGATAAACCTAACTCAATTTACTCCAAAGATTAGTGTTGAGTTTATTCAACCTTTTTTAGCCTTATTAATGTCAGATTTAGCAGTATGAAACCCTTTATTCAAAAATTTTGTGACCAAGCAGGCTTCTTGAAATGGTTACTGGAATGCAGCATACTTTTAAAGTTTGTCACAGTTTATAAAGTCCAACCACTTGTTTCTTTGGCCTTAGTCAGACTCTTCTCTGTTACTTGCACAATTGGGAATGAAACACTTAAAAATACATTTTAAAACTAAAATTTTTATACAAAATACACTAAAGCTAACGAAAACGTCCCGTCGAAATATATAAGCTATAAAACAATAAACATCCTTTCGTAAAATAGCAGTAAAATGCCAATAAAACTTTATTTATAATTTATAGTTAGTTCATACTTCTTAGAAAAACAAAATGGAAATTTCCAAGATACGTAGTATCCACTAAGTAGTCTGTGTTTCCAAGAAAACTTCTAACTTGACAGCTACGCGACAATAACATGACAAAATGGCGGCAGCGGGAAGGGGCAAGAGATGGGAGGGACGAGGGAAACGTCATGTTCTGGATTGCTCACTGCATTTCATACGGTCAAAGATTTTTGCTCAAAGATTACCAGCCGGGGACTATATCTATTCAGTGCTGCCACAAACTATATAGAAACACTACCATGAAGTTATAGATAAAGATGGAGGCCATAAACGCTTATTACATTACACGATTTCTCGGGCCCTGCCCGCAGGGACAGGGTAGTGTAATAAGAAACAGGGAGGCAGGGAGCTCAGTTGCGTGGCCGCATTCGCAGAGTCTACACGTTTGTTTATTTAAAGTTCTACTATGTCGATCTACTCTCTAAATCATTACTCGTATTTATGTCATGCGCTAAAGAAAAAGATCCTTCTGAATGTCATCGACATCTACAAAGATATGCCTTATCAAATCTTGATAGGAGTTTCCAGTGGCCAAAATCGTAAAGTGACAACCAATCTCTCTTAAAAAAGTATTCTTTTGAATAAAACTTCTTTTACGGATTCTATCGCGTTTAATTTTTTTTTTATTAATTCCCGACGTTTCGGGTGCTTTACCACCCATGGTCACGGGGGACTGGTTGCTGTAAAACATCCGAAACGTCGGGAATTAATTAAAAAAAAATTAAACGCGATAGAATCCATACAAGTAGTTTTATTCAATGCGTAGTGTTCGCGTTAATATAAGAAATCATTAAAGTATTTTTTTTCTATTAAAGGCGTTACTAAGCTTAATAACTCGTCGAATTGGTTTTCACCTACTCTTTAAAATAGTTTCGTAGGTCTGTTGGGTCCAAAACGTTGACTATTTGCATATTCGATAGTTTTTCTCTCAGGAGCAAATATTTTTTCATCCACATTTAACTTTCCTTCCTTTTTTTAGCTTGGCCTTACACGTTACCGCCAGCCAAAGTTTTTTTTTATAGGATAGGGTGACAAACGAGCACACAGTCCACCCGATGGTAAGTGGTTGCTGTGGCCCATAGATACCTACATTTATCCTCCTATGCGAATCAAAATGCAGATGCGTTGTCACCCGTGAGGACTGAGATGGAATGCCTCTTTTCCAGTAAAAAGGGTCTCCGGTTCTCTACACTCACCATACGAAACACAGCAGTGTTAAGCTGCTATTTTACGCTGGTATTCTGTGAGAGCGTGGTCCTTCCCCGGTCGAGCCGACCCATTCGTACTACAACTATACTACTAATATAGCTATAGCATGGCATTACCACGTAAAAAAACAATAAAGCAATTTTTTGACGTTTAGATAAAGTCTGCGCCATAATGCTAGACGTGCAATCATTTCCACGTTCGAGTAACAACTGAGGCAGGAAGCGATTTCTAGCGTAGTGTAATAAGCAGCGCCCTGTCTGGTAGGCAGGGCACACGATGGACAGGGCCCGATAAATCGTGTAATGTAATAAGCCTTATACTTGGAACTACAGCTTGAGTCAAATACCTACGTATCTTTATCTCACTCTCTGTGGTCTGACTTCTCTGATCTCTCTCTCTGTCTGATGTTTTTATTTGAATCTCCCGGTAAATTCTTAGAAATAATTTCCACACTAACTAAATCAGATGTTAAGCTTTGTAAAATAATGTACCAACAAATAAATAGTTGATCTACGATTAGTTACATAAAAAATTCCAAAATTGAAGGTCTCGTATGCATTATTGGGTTCACGAATCAGTGAATTACAATCCCATTTCCTAAGGATTCGGTAATATGGCAACATTAGCCCTATATGTCAACATAAATTGGAGTTTTGGAGTTTTGGCGGGAAATTGACCGGCGGCGGTTTGCTGCTCCTGTATTATAGTTTAAATAATAGTTTGAAGTGGGTTTTGATATGTAAAAGTGGTGCGATTTTATGTATTAACTGTCTACGCATGTGAACCATTAGTGGAAACGGTGAAACAAGTGCTCTGATGGTGATGGATTCTCAAGATAAGCTGTTTGTCTGCATAGGCGCCTTTAGATACCATCGCCAACTGTCAGCTGTCTGCTGGCTCAAGTTGCCGTCAAAATCTCCCAAGGGCTGCACAATGTGACGCATCAACATATTGTGAAGCAGTGAACTATGAAAGATAATTATACATTTGGGAAATTATAATAAACCGAATAAAAATACTCAAGACTTGGCCTTAAGGTCTAGATACCAGGCCATAAACTCCAAAAAAAAAACAACATAAATTAGACAAATATGGCGGTTGTTTACTA